GGGTCGGGTCGGGTCAAGTCTGGGCTCGGCCTCGGGCAGAGAATCTAAACTCTAGTCCATATGCCCTTACTGTATTCCCGAAAAGTTATATCGCGATCTTTAAAGTGCACAACTGCGATCCCGATCTGAATTGTGGTCCTTTTTTTTCCCCAATTCTTAAGTGTACTGTCTAGAATACCCAGACTCGAGCAAGCCTAAGTGCCATTTAAAACACAAAATTGCGTTAAAGACATGGTTTTAAAAATGGTAGTTAAATCCTCAGTTAAACTTTATTTTTAACATTAAACAAAGTTGTGCCGGATTGCTTCCTTTTAAGGTGGTTGAATGGATTTGTTGTATTGCCTCCAGAAGTGCTGATCAGGGCCCGACAAAATTTGCGGGTAACTTTTGCTTGGTGAAATATCTAACTGTCCATGCCTGATTTGCTCTTTGCATATCTGCGTATGCCCAGCATTCCACTTTACGGCGTTTTTTGAGTGGATGCCTGATTCGTACCGCTTCGTTTCATGACATTTTCATGAACCATTCTGATCGCTTTAATATTTTTCTTCACTACGTCAAGTTCATTTCACGGACTGCTTGTAAGCACCAGGCCACAGTGGGATATTGAACCAACAGAATGACTTCCTGCTAGACGGCTCTGCTGATCGGTCAGGTTATGTCACATGTCTCTATCACAGGGTCTCTTTCATGCGTGACGTGTTCAGTGTGAGCTGTTGGCATGGTGGCTGAGGACGTGTGGTACGGATTGGGCAGTGACACGTTATTACTGGTCATCGAAGTTTGGAGCACCGTGCTGCTTAATAGCAACTTCTCTTTAATTTCTGCTGCCGATACAGTTTGCCCCCTTATAGTTTAATAGCAGTGGCCCACGGCGCAAGCAGAAACTCATCGCTCTCGCAAGTCGCAGTGGAAGATTAATGGTCTGGAGAACGGAACGGAACAGGCTCCCTGCCCGTCTTGGGGGGAGGGGGATGAGGGCAGGCTGCAAAATTGGTTTTGGTGCTCAGGCGGCAGTTTTAAGCGTGGATTTTAAGTTTGACGTTTGGATAGCGGTGGACTAGAAGGTTCCTGAAGGACAGCGTGAATCTTGCTGGCCGGGCAGACACTGGGCAATGTCTGCTCTGGTACTTATGGTTGGTGTTGCTTGTGGACCTTCGCCCGCACCAGTAGCGACCAGTTGTTGCCGCCTCCCCCC